CCAACAACTGAGCGTTAGACCAAAAGGTCTAGTGAGTGTATAAATCTCATACAAACAATATACATTCCAAACAATCAGTTTAGAATCAAACCTGTTCTGAAACATAAGCATATTTATGTTTCTCGCGGTTACACCGCCAATACATCTCTCTCGCAGTTACACCGCCATTACATCTCTCACCTCTCTCACAGTTACACCGCCATTACATCTCTCTCGCAGTTACACCGCCATTTCATCTCTCTCGCGATTACACCGCCATTTCATCTCTCTCGCGGTTACACCGCCATTTCATCTCTCATCTCAAAATATTTCAAAAAATTTCTAACTCTTTATCCGGACTTGAAGTCCGGTCAACCTTGTCCAGATTACAAGTCCGGTTAACCTTAACTCTTGAAATTTAATTAACATCTTTGTCCGGATTACAAATCCGGACAACACTTCACTTATAATGTTAACCGGTATAAAGTATACCGGACGATACATTGCCCAACCTTTGTCCGGTTTAAAACAATCCAGTCATTACACCGCACAACATTTGACCGGTTTAGACTAATATCCGGTCACCTCTTGAGCGGTTTAGAAGTAAACCGATCACCTCTTGAGCGGTTTAGAAGTAAACCGGTCACCTCTTACACGGTTTTAAGATAAACCCGGTTGATATTTGAACGGTTTATTTGTCCGGATAACAATCCGGGCATCCCTTAAACGGTTTGCATAAATTGATACATAATTCATAATAACCAGTTCTAAATTCTACCAAATTGTATATAAACATTTTATACTCAAAGCTTTAATACACTCACCTTTTAGAAATCGAGTAACAAAGCTTTTGAATCCTCCTCTTTAGCAATCCTTCTGATTCTTCAGATAAAACTTTCTAAATATAGTATGTGTGTATATACCTTTTCTTCCCCAAAATTTGTATATATACCTAAAGAAGAAGGAGGAGAGGTGATGGGCGGCAACAAACAGCCGACCTCCCCTTTTTTTCTTAATTTAAAATAAAATTTTAAATTAACCCTTTTAAATATTACACACATACCTACATACCCGTACACATATACATATATATAAACTTGAAATAACAACCAAAATATTACAATATTCCCTCCTTAAAAGAATTCCGTCCGGAATTCCATTAAGTAAACAGATAAGGATATTTCATCCGCATTTCCGATTCTGATTCCCAGGTGGCATTTGGTCCCTTATGATAATGCCATTGAACTTTTACTAACCCATTCTCTTTGTTTCGTAATTTCTTCACCTTATAGTCAGTAATCTGTTCAGGGGTTTCTTCAAAGCATAATCTCTCATCTACCTTAATCTCAGGTAATGGTACTGCCACATCCGGATTTATTAGACACTTCCTCAAATTTGACACATGAAACGTGTCATGAATTCCACTAAATTCCAAAGGAAGTTCTAACTTATAGGCCACTTCCCCAACTCTTTCAATAATAGGAAATGGTCCAACATATCTTGGACTTAACTTCCCTCTTTTTCCAAAACGTATCACTCCTTTCCATGGTGATACTTTCAACATTACTTTATCACCTATTTGAAACTCAATCGGCTTCCGACGTTTATCTGCATAACTTCTTTGTCTATCTTGTGCTGCTTTCATTCGTTCTCGTATTACCCCAATTTTATCTGCAGTTTGTTGAACTAACTCAGGCCCAGCTAACTGTTTTTCACCTATTTCATTCCAGCACAAAGGAGTTCTACATTTTCGTCCATATAGAACCTCATAAGGTGCTGCTTGAATACTTGAGTGGTAGCTATTGTTGTATGCAAATTCAACCAAAGCCAAATGACTATCCCACGACCCTCCAAAATCAATGATACAGGATCTCAACATATCTTCTAAAGTTTGGATAGTTCGCTCACTTTGTCCATCAGTCTGAGGATGATAAGCTGTACATAGTTTAATTTGTGAACCAATTTCTCTCTGAAAGCTCTTCCAAAACACAGAAGTGAAACGACTATCTCTATTAGAAACAATCGATAAAGGAACACCATGTCGTGTCATTATCTCATCAATGTATAGCTTTGCCAATCTCCCCATCGAATATGACTCTTTCATAGGTAAGAAGTGTGCAGATTTAGA